TCCAAGCTTGGTTCAGCCTCTCTGCCCGCTGTCCTCTTCTCCACGTGCCTACTCACACATGCGCGTAGGCAACCAATCTGTGAGGGATGTTCGCCAATAAATATCAGACGCTTTCCAAGATTGCAGTTGTTACTTCTCTTAAATCTGGGTCTCTATACCATTAGCCTCATGAACTTTGATTATTAGTATTTGGGAAAGGTGTTGAGTATAAAAAATATTTTACTGCCTTCCGCTCCAGAAACAACAGATCACTGCAGAACTTAGCATACCACGCCAATGGAAGGCCCAATTCCCCAAAGCCTGTCATTGTCGAAGCCATATAGCGCCATCTCTCGCTGCGGCGCAACTCTAATAAGTTGGTTTTCTCGAAGGCAAAGGGCAGTCTCTATTCCTAGCCCCCGTAAATTATCACTGGAGTCATTCTCGCAAAGCGTCGAATACCCCTCACAGATTACATAATGCTTAGATAACAACGGGGTTGGTGACGGGACGACTCGAAAACACTGCAACTAAAAAAATTCAGGAGGGCGAAAACACACAGTCTGTCAGAGCTTTGCACGGGGCCGGGCAAATCGGAATGCCCGGGCCCGGTCGGACCATGGCTCGGCCGGGCCGGGTAGCACGCATTGTTCTCAAGCCCGGGATGTGCCCCGGCCGGGCACTTGGACGGGACCGTATCTGCATCAATATTAGCATACGAATGCAGTAGATGATCCACTCTCTCCTTCTTTTGTTGCCCCAATACACAGAATCATCTTTACAGCTAGCGGTTGTGCTGCTCCGACTTTTTACTGGAAAACGGTGGACATTTGGCACAAAAGTTAAAAAAAAAGCGAGCTCCGCGCTTTAAACGGGCTTGCCGAGCACGCGGGATCGTGCACAGCTAGAGTAGTTCAAGGCTGTATTGGCAGTATGCTCGAATTTGTATGTTTGGTTCCGCACACATTTATGATAAAACCGCGATGGCCTTCGACATTTCTGCAGTGCCCACAGATTCCGCCTCACCAAGGGCTTCTTCAGCAGTAATGAATTTAACATTATCTTTACCCTCCTAACTAGCTGAGAAAAAAATGACACACGCCTAAGGTTATACCTTTCTATGATGTATTAAAGCTAAAGTGGTGATCTCGTGCGCGCAGCTTTCGTTTAACCTAGAGACCGATGTACAAAGCAGCAGCAGCTTTTCTTGACCAGATCGTGTGCGTCAGCACCTCTCTATGGCGGCTTAGAATTTACGAGATGAAACCCGCTTCATCGGAAACATCTCTGACATCTCCAGCAGAGCTGGGCCCGGGCCAGTCCTTATCAGGTGGGCATCCCACCATGCCGGCTAGGGTAAGATTGAAAGTCAGCAGGCCCGGGCCGGCTAGGACCTCAAAATGTAGGTATGTGCGGTGATCTACTATGTCTAAGTGTTGATCCTGGCTTTTTTAAACTTTTTTTAAGTATCAATATTATTTTTTTTTGTCCACTACATTTACAGTTTTTTCATGGCCAGAAATTTGTGACAAGCGCGTCTAGTCCACTTATCTGTCTCAACGACCCGTATTCGACGTAGCTTTTACACCATTAGCAAATTTTTCCGCCAAAGCGGAGTGTGTGCCGAGTGAAAAGTAAGGGATTTTGGCCAAGCAATGGCCAGTGGCTGGGGGCCCTATTGGAAAAACCAGCATGAAGATCAAACTGGCCAAGCTGGTAACTAAGCTGGTCAATCTGGTCAATGTGGTAGTCAAACTGGTTTAACTCGCAATCAAGCTGGTTTAAGCTGGGCAAGCTAGAATTTAAGGTGGTCAGTCTGGTTTAAGTAAAAACCATCATGGTCTCACTAGAATCTGGTTTTAGATTCAATCTGGTGTAGCTGGGAGCCAGTCTGGTCTTAATTGGTCAAACTGGTTTTCCATGGAGCCAATGTGGTCAAGCTGGGAGACAAGCTGGTCATGCTCGGAGACAAGCTGGTGAGTCTAGTCGGACTAATGATCGTGGTGGTCAAGCTGGTCATGCTGGGAGCGCGCACGCCAAGGTCGGCTAGAGATAGCCGAACTGGCATTGCTGGAAGCGCGCGCGCCAAGGTCGGCTTAGGCTGGAACGAGGCCACGTCCCGTTCTTTATCCTCTCGTTTTTGGTAGACGACCGGGCGCGTCAGGCGCGCTGCAAGCGACCTTTGTGTGCGAAAAGAGAGAGAGAGAGTGGCAGGAACGGAGAATTTGCGACGCGTTTGGCTATCTTGGACAGATTTTCGAAGGGACGGCTGTGTGCGCGTTGTTTGGAGACAAGTTGAATGACGGTGCAAGCGAACCGGGTTTTGAGGAGACAGCGAGCGGCAGTCCGTTCAGTGCGGGAAGATATCGGACGTTCCGACTGAGGCGTCGCTTCATGTCTTCGAACGTGTGTGTGCTCAAGAATGACGGCGGTGCCGAGGAGTATCGCCAATGCCATCCAAGCCACACGGATTTCCTCGCCTCAGCCGACCACGCAAGTTGCCGCTTCGCTCCCATCACTGGCGGGACCCAGGTTCGCATCTGTTATCCGTGTAGTATTTTCGTTTGCTATTGCCTGTTTTCGGCGTGTGTCGAGTATTTTTCGTGTTGAAAGATAAGCAATCTGGTTTTAGTAACATTGTATGCTTTTCACCGAGAACCACTGTCTGTGCGTCGGTTAGTACTGTGTCAGCGCCGAGGATGTGTAGCATCTGAGTTCATGTGAGGCGGCCGCAAGTACGAAAATAATAAATTGGATGCCGAGTTGGCTTTTCTGAAGACCTTGGCTTGTTTATCCTGTGTATTAATTTAAACAGGTTAAACTGGTTGGGAAGTTCATCAGCATGACCAGTTTAATCAGCATGACCAGAATGCCAAACTGGGCATGCTGGAGCAATAACCCAGCTTGGAGCTGGGACCAGATCAACCAGCATGACCAGCATGCCAAACTGGGCATGCTGGGGCAATAACCCAGCTTGCAGCTGGGACCAGCTTAAGCTGGTTTTTTCAATAGGATGCTATTGCAATATATTGGGCTTCAGCCATTTTCTAAGAATGTGATATCAAGGTGGATATTTAAGTACGTTTCTTTCTTAATTTTTGTTGTTGTTTGTGTGCTGGGTGATTGGTATAATTAATTTAATGTAAGCATTTAGTCCGTGCCTTAATCTTACTTTTGAGATGCGAATGTTAAGCTCACAGAAACAAGCATTCTCTCATTAATCGTTCATTCACCGCAGTGCTCCCAATACTTACAATAAAATCACTGTTATAATCACATAACTTTATTAACTAGCAAAAATAGTTTGAAAACTTTTTTTAGATATTTTCCTATTGCCGTAATACAAATGTTATTTTTGTTTGCGAGTTTATTGTTTCCAGTAGCATAATAGTGGAAATGATCGTAAACGTCCAAACGAGAATGAATCCACCTTATTTGGTACATTGATCTCAGAAATCCAAGACAATAATTTGCACCCAGCATATTACCGGTGCTTCTGGATTAATACAGTCTATCGAATGTAAAATCTTGCATTTTGCTGTATTTTTTTAATTGTCGTCGTTTGAACATCACTGTTTCTCAAACATGTGTTTGAGGTGCCTCCGATGCATATTTTTGTGCACAAGTAATACACAACTTGTACACTACTCAATTACTCATAACATTAGGGAAGGATTCTATTTTATTTATGCAATCATAACGAGTCGCTTATAGCCAAGAATGAACTATACACTTCGATTAACTTGGATACTATTCGCAGTTGCAATATATCTAAAAGTTTATTCGATTGAGGAACCTGCAGTTTACACGTCATCATCTTGAAATTTAGGCACAAGAATAGCGGTATATATTAGAATGGAGTAGTAGCATGAGAAAGTGTTCAAAGTGTAACGTTTCGGTGTTATGGCGAAATTTGTATATTAAATACGTGGGCTTCCATGGGAGCGCTGCCGTAACCCGCTAAGAGATGGCGCAAGTATATGATGGCACACAATTCTGGGAATGGGGGATTCAATGTTATTGCAAGGTACTTCAAGTTTATGCTTTAAATATTCACAATAATAGTCACGCCTTTGAACATTGAGAATATATTCGCGAAACGTCTATAAAGTAAAAATTGGCAGGTACCCAGGTACCCATATATTACTTGATTCAACCTTATCTTTTTATCGTGATAGAATTGAAGCGTTGGTAAGTATGGCTTGGAAGATTTAGGATTAATTTTTTAGTTCATATGTTATATATAGTATAGATATTTTTATCCCACAGGAACACTTAAATAAGAGTATTACAAAAGAGAGCGAATCAGTTAAATAAACATTCCAACATTTCACTAAATGAGGTGACGTCTGGCGTTAATACAATGGCTTCGGGCAGTCCAATCCAGTCCACGGCTGTTGCCTGAGGAAAATAATTTCAAATGCCGTGTTTCTGGCGAAAGGAAGGCTATCTTTTGCGTGGTAAATTGCGATGCGGTCGTAAGATTAATGGTTGGTGTAGATGGTCGTCGAAGTAAAACCCGTGAAAAAGACAGTAACTGAGATGCCAATTTAAAAACTCATCTTCGCGTTTCCAAGATGTAGTCATTCATTTATGTTCAATTTGTGTAACAATTTCATGCTTATCTAACGAGCAAGTAAGCAAATTCTGATGGGACAGTCATATCTATATTATTTTAAAATGAATGTAGACCGCACTCATAGTCAGGGCTCCATTTATTGGAACACCCCTTTAACAGAAACAGTTGAGGTACGTGTCATTTTCTTTTTAAAATAAAAGTTAAATAAACTTCAATTGACATGATCGCGTGTGTGAGTGAAGTGATACATTATTTTGAAGAGATATGACCTATTTTTTCAAGGGTTCAAATAAAGTTTGCAAAGAAAACTAAATCAGCCACCTGTTGCTACCGCTCTCCTGTAAGCGTCCGTTGCATATTGGCGAATGAAGCAAACTAAAAATTGTGACTTATCCGCACACGGCATTATTCAACATTCTGATTGGCTGCGAACAGAATACCGATTGGTATATATTGCAGACGCATCTACACCCATTTCCACAGGTTTTCTTGGAGAGTTTGAAGAATTTCTATTCAAGCCAGCAACGAAAGGTAAGAACTTTCAACTAAACAATTGGTTTGAGTAAAACTGCGAATAGTGCCAGGGGGAGAGTAAACTAAACTGTAGATGCAGTCGCGATATGATAGCCTCAATGATTACTACTGCCAAGCGTTAGCTTTGACGGCAACGTAATACTTCTAATGCACTTATAGCCTCGAACCCGACAAATGAAGTAAAATAAATTATAAATATTATAAATGCCGATTTTATGGCAACATCCTTTCCTGTTTGCGTTTTTCTCATGTTGAGGTCACAATGCAGAGGAAGATATGAAGTGTCATAAAATTATTTATTGAAGTCTTGGTTTATAATACCTGGGCCAAATAAGAGCAGAAATTATTATGCTGAATTGAAGATAAGATTTGTGGTATGAAGTGAAATGCACTAAGAACGAGATACGAGATCAAAAGCCGGAACACAGAACATATGAAAGTTCAAAGGTAGTACTCGAAAAAGGCTCAGAATGGCTAAAGACCTGGCATTACAAGCAAGTTTGATAGTTTTGCACAATGGAAATGTGCCAGACTCAAAAGTAATGGATTTTTTTCATTTATTATATTAAAGAAAAAAGATTGTGCTGATACAATTTCTAAGTGATGAATAATGAACCAACATCCTCCTAATTTTTTTTCTCATTCTGTAGACGAGAGTACCCCCCGTAAATGTTGAATATGAGTTTTGGAATGTGCAGTCTAGCCGTAAGGGGGGGTCTGGGAGTTCGCGTTTAAATATGATGTGTGAAAAAGTATTATATGAAAGTTCGGGTGCGGCGTTTCGGCTGGCAAAAAATTCTTATTTTATAAGCACGACCAAAGAAACTCATGCAGAGTCGTCATTTTGAAAACCCTCGCTTCAAAATGCAAACGAAAAAAAAAATAAATCTCGTGGAAGCTGTTGTATTTGACAATATCTACGTGAGAGGAAAATGGGCGCAGAAGGCCTCCTTGCCGGTAGCAGTTAACTTTTTCCTACTACGATTCTTAGATCTACACAGGGATGAAGGTGTCCATGTGGGATTTTAAAACCAATTAACCCCTTATTTCAATACCCCTCGCCCTTTAACAACGTACGTTTCTAGTCAGCTCACTTGTTGAGGTTTATAATTCAGCAACAAGTGGAAAAGACAAAAAAAGTGAGAAAAAAGTTGCGTTACAAGAAAGAACCTTAGATATAAGATACCACCCATGGGGGATCGTCTTCTCTCGTTTTAATATACAAACACCGGTGTGATTATTGGCACTCACTTTAAAGGGATACTTCAACAAAATTTGAAATATACCCGTCGTGTTCAAAAATAGGTTGAATATGATCCACAATATCCGTAAATGACAATCGCACGTTTGTATTTTGAGCCGGGTGGCTCTATTTTTCGTTATAAACGGCCCATTTTAGAAAGCGCTCGGAGAAGGCCCAGCGGAGACCACGTGACATCTAGCGCAATCGTGACGTAGGTCGTCTCGGGACTAGCAAAGCTACGGCGACGCTGACGTCGAGAGGATGGCCTAGTCGTTCCAGCCACCGAAGCGGCTGCTTTTGTACGAATTTTGAGTGACGGGTTAATCTTCTATAATCTTGTAGGGAGACAATAGCGACTTCTGCAATACACAATAGGCATTCTCGGGAAGAGGGGAGTTCCTCCTTCCCCTCTTCCCTCGTCTTGGCCGGAGGCGAGACACTCACCCTCACTAGCTGTCAAGGTGGTTAGACGGGCATAACAAGCGAGGCGTTAGCGACATCTACCAGGTGCTCTTTGCTAATCGTTTAATTCGTTTTAAAATTACTTGTCGAAACTTTTTAGCAAGATATCGGCATGTTCGATGTGATACTGCTTCTTTGAACACATATAGACCAAAAAATGAGCGCCGAAATTTCGTTGTAGTATCCCTTTAAGAGGTAGGCGTATTGCGGTCTTCCAATACATTAAACAAGCCGAATTATTTCTAAGTTTCTAAGCGTAGTCTGACTGAATAGGTTTTTATGATCTAAGATCGGAGGAAGAAACAGGTTTTTGTACCATCCTGTGTTTAAGCTTTCTCTGCATGCAGCAAAGAGGAAGAAGCTGGCGTGTTATCACTTTAATCCATATTTCACTTGCTTTGACGTGCAGGTGTCGAATTTTCCATGTTGTAACCTAAGTTTTGTGATCATTCCCTTCTAAAAAAAATTAACTAGTAGCTAGGGCACCGAATGTTTATATGCTTTTGAGATATTAAACGTGTTTTAAACATGCAACCACTGTCACAAAATCTTTGCAATTGTAACATTGAAAGTATTGATTTTGTAGGACTGTTTCAACCATGGAAACGAAGGCAGCAGTTCTGCTGATGTTCTTTTGTTCATCGTGCCTGATCTATCAAAGCGAAGCAAAGACTCCGAGAATCCCAACAAAACAATTTTACGATGTATGTATCACTACTCTTATGTATCTAGCGATCACAACATTGATGTTTCATAAAACAGACGACACGCGGAAAAAATTCGGTGACAACAAGAGAGCTGTCGACTCCGTCGTTATGCAACATCGTTTTATTATTTTTTTTTTTAATTTGCTCTCAATGTCCGCACTTTTTTTTAAACCAAGGGTACATTACAAAAAGATTATCTTAAGATTTCTAGGCCACGGTCGACGCGGCCACTTTCGATTTTTTTTTTTTTCAAAAAGCAAGTTGGGCCAACGAGAGCGCCATCTATCAATACCTGCGTCAAACGCGCCCCGCCGCTCGAAACGGTCGTCTCCGTCGCCGCCCGCCGTTGACTCTGGCAAGTGGTTTTGCCCTATTTTTTAAAGAAAGAGAGATACGCTAAGTAATTCTTGCAAGAAAAAACTGACCGGTGAAATACACCTTTGTCAAAAAGTTTAGATTGCTACTTGCAGGGAACGAATTTTACGGCCCATTTTACATCGAGGCTGGTTATTACGGACATCGGGTATATATGCATATCTGTGCACGGCGCAAATATAATCGTCATTTTTGCAAAAGGTTATTATAATTTTTTTCTGATGCTACATGTAGTGTTCTTTTATTTTGTTATGTTTCTTTCGGTGTTTCTGTTCACAACGAGACAATTTGTTATGGTACAGTTAGTTGACGGCGAAGTATGTGAGCGCTGATGTGTTTTCCATTGGTGCACAGCTGATGGAGAGTTAGCGGAGTGGGATAGCGCGAGTGGGGTAAAATCAAGGTGTTAAATAATATTTCTCAGAAACACATTCGTTTATTTCGCGGAAGAGACTTATATTGAGCTAAATAAAAATTAAAACTGTTCTCTGATATTCGCTGATGTGAAACTTAATGAAGATATAAATAAATATTCTCTGAGTTTTTGTTTACCGTCCTAAAGACATGCTTAGAAGCCATGATGAGCATGTTCCACGGTGTGCGGAAAGTTAGTTTGAACTAATATCATACTGGCTATACAAGATATGGAAACAAGGCCCATCCTGACATACCAGTGCTATCACAGCGGCAACAGCATTGATCCACCGGGCTCCATCAACTACACCATTCTCTGGGACGGGACCGATTCAAGCACCACAAACGCCATTGGCACGACGTGGTCCGCGGTGGCGGGGACGCCTAACTCCTACACTCGGTACGTATATTAGCCTCGTCACTAGATCATGGGAAAGCACTTTTAACTGATGGTCGGGGTTCCTTTTTGTTCCGTTTACTTAAGCAAATGTTTCGTTTACTTAAGTACGAAAAAGTGAACACGAATAAAAAGAACTGCGCGAGTTTTTAGTTTAAAAGAAACAGTCATTAATTCCCCACAAAATAAAATCGTATTTTAAAATATTAAACTGAATTAAAAAGATACGACATTGTAAGTCTCACATTGTGGCCAAACAAGAAGTATACCAGAGTAATGCATTCGCAAAGTAAGTATAACTATTTCTCTTTGTTCAAATTTTTAAATTAACGTCATGAGTTGTGCTACTTGGTATTCGTTGATCCTAATAAAGAAACAGCGCAAAAAACACGAAAGAAGCAGGAGAAACGCGCAAACAGGACGAATGCTGTTTGCGTCCGTCTTGATTGCCTGTTTCTCTTGCTTCGTGAAGCTCGCAACGCTAATGCAAACGCGCAGGGCGTGGAGTTGCTCGTATACGCAATACTAAAACTCACTATTATTTGAATCATGTGTTTTTTATAAAAGCATGCGGCATTTCTCGTGATTCGTGGCATTTGCGTGGCTTCATTATGCTTCAAGGTTGTCAAGTCAGCTCTCAGTATGTCCGTTTGTTCGACTGTATTGTTCATTCTTTGCGCTTTTACATTAACTTGCCAAGCATAACAAAATCGTTTGTGTGAAATGTATGCTGCTGCATGTACGCGCTTGAAACCTCATAATGGGAGCAGGAGGGACGTCAATGCGAATAATGCATAGCAATGCTACCTTAAGTCCTGTTTCTATGAAAAAGTAAAATAGAAAGTCTGATTTTTTTACTGCACTTCACTAGCTGACAAAATGTTGCCTAAACTCCTGCAATATATTTAGTTATAAAAGCATTACAATTATTATTGTTATCATGTCATCACATTTCGGAGAATAAAAAGCTCGCTTTTAACAAATTTCTTGTGCCGTGTTCACGTCTGCAGTAGAAAAATTGGAAGTATTTTTTTTCTTCAAGTTTGGTTATATTTACACTCCATAATCTTGTTTTTATTTTTTCTGCCTTAATATCTTTGGCGTGTCTCATTAACCATGTAATTAAAACCTTTTTCAGAGGATCTCTCTCGACACATTATGACGCCGCTAGTGGTGTCGGTAAACTTACAACTTCAAGTAAGTAAATAAGAAAAGTTCAAACGTAACTACTAGACACACAGCCTGTGATATACTATTCTTTGAAAATGCCCAGGCGTCTGCCATATGTGGCATGCTAATGACATGTAATGGTTCAATTACAGCTGTTCGGGAAGACTTGACTGTTGTAGAGCCATTCTTTGGCAAGGCTCTCTATTTGAAGATCGGTAAGTTCAACGCCTGTTAAAAGTTTTTCTTTCGTTTCTGATAGGATCACGAAAGATTTTAATAGGAAAAAATAATCTTGCACTGAAGCCATTGCGGCTAGATTTCTTACTTCAAACAATGAAAATTCAACAAATCTAATTAAGGAGAACGACCACAGTGTTGTGAGTTTCTGCGTGCCGCTCAAAGCAATTAAAATTGACGAGTTACAAACAAGGAGTTTACTAAGATCTGTAAGATTGTACAACCTCCGCTTTTTTCTAAAATCAAGTACTCTATGTGGGTATAGTTGCGCGAAACCAGCTGAACCTATAATTAGAACCATCGATACAAATGAAAGGAGAAAATAAAAAGCGCATTCAACCGCTGGACTACCAACTGTTTAATGAGTCTTGTTCCTCTTCGACTAGCTTTGTTTGTTCTATTTTTCTTCTTCATTTGTTTCGGCATTCTGTATCTCATGAGAGTCTTCGTCATCGACTAGCTTTTGCATTCTCCTCGATTTTCTAATTGTTATAAACACTGTCTTTTTGCAGGAACTTTTTTTTCTCTTTTGGATAGGGAGACTGATCGTAAAGTTACGTACTCGTTTTCTTTCTCTTCTATGGCCAAGGCCTCCAGAACCTTGCGCGCAAACTGATTTCTGTGACTTTCCAAGATGGGGACATGCTCGAGGCTGGCCTTGCATGAGCATACACTACAATGTGTGGGTAGGTTCCCTGCTGTCGTCAAGTTTTTCAGATTGTTCGCATGTTCCCGTGTTCTGTCGTAAATACACTAAAAAAACGTAACGACAGCAGGGAACCTAGCCACACATTGTCGCGCATGCTCGTGCAAGGTCAACCTCGAGCATGTCACCATCTTGGGGCGCCACAGAAATCAGTTTGCCTGCAAGGTGCTGGAGGCTTTGGCCATAAAAGAGAAAGAAGAGAAATGCGTTAGTTCACCATCAGTCCTTCCACACAAACGAGAAAAACGTTCCTGTGACCCGACAGTATTTCAAACAATTAGAAAATCGAGGAGAAAGCATAAGCTAGTCGTTGAAGAAGACTCTCATGAAATGCAGAATGCAGAAACAAATGAAGAAGGAAAATAAAACAAACAAAGCTAGTCGAAAAGGAAGAAGGTTTACTAAAGAGTTAGTAGTTCAACGGTTCACTCTAAAAAAAAAAAGTGTCGATTTAACTCTTTTTGGAGTGTAAGTGGCTTGTCACAGAATCCACTCTTTTAAAGAGTAACTATAACTCTTCGGAGGCAAGAGTATGTTTAACTCTTCCATACAAGTGTTCACTTAACTCTTCCACAGAGAGTAACTCTAATACTTTTGAGAGAGTAAGGGTTACTCTTTTGATGTGTAAGTGCAAGAGTTAACCCCACTCCTTTGTGTAGAGTAATTATAACTCCATGAGAAGTGTTGCCTAAACTCTTTGATGAGAGTACATTTCACTCTTTTGTGTGGAGTGACAACTCTATCAGAAGTGTTGCCAAAACTCCATGTTGACGAGTGAAGGATGCTCTCCAGGGAGAGTTACCTTCATTCCTTCGTGTAGAGTAACTACAACTCTGTTAAAATGTTGCCTGTACTCTGTATTCAAGAGTTACGAGTACTCGCCAGGAAGAGTTACCCTCACTCTATCGTCTAGAGTAACTACAACTCCATTAGAAGTGTTGCCTAAGCTCTGTATGCAAGAGTTAAACATATTCTCCCGGAAGAGTTGAATTCACTTGTTTGTGGAGAGTAACTAAAACTCCTTTAGAAGTGTTGCCTGAACTCTGTATTTAAGAGTTAAGCACGCTCTCCAGGAAGAGCTGTTATAACCTTTTTGTGGGGTAAATACAACTCCGTTAGAAGTGTTGCCTAGAGTCTGTATTAGTGAGTTAACTATGCTCTCTAGCAAGAGTTAATGTCACATAACAGCACACTTGAGCAGTTTGTGTGACCCCGCCTTAGAGAGTACTTAACGCTTTAATACAGAGTTCAGGCAACACTTAGAATGGGGCTGTAATTACTCTACAGAAAGAATTGTGTACAGTAAGTACAGCCCCATTTGATGTGTTGCCTAAACTCTGTATAAGAGAATTAGCACCCTCTTCAGGAAGGGGTCACACAAACTCCGCTCAATTATGCTGTTAAATGTTGTTTTTAGTGTGCTGTTGAGTGTAAGTTAACCCAGTGAAAAGTAACGGAAACACTTGAAAACAGAATTAGAAGAACGGAAGTGTAAAATTGGCTTTGTTGCAGAAAAGCTGGCTGAAAAAATAAAAAAAAAAGGAAATGTGGAACTGCAGCTCAAAAATGACATGAAATATATAGCATATGAGCCTGCACAGAGGCAGGCAATACGATCTCATGAAAAGTCAGCATAGAAAGAAAACAGTAGAATAGAGTTTATTAAACCAAGATTTCAATTTCAGAACATGGCAAAAAAGGCAAAAGTGGCACACAAATTTCCTCTGGCTAACAAGTTTTTAACTTTGTGATGAAGTCTAAAGCCAGGACGGACTTTATTCTGTACTTCAAACCAATGAAGTGCCCAATCATTGCGAGCGACTGGCTTGCTTTTTGACGGTAAAAAATGTCGTGGACTCCGTGCACTGCAAGAACGAGCGCTTCACCAGCCACAATATCAATCACCTCAAAGGAGTGATCCTCCAAGACCACAGTTATGGCACTTGAGTCCTCTTCGTCGATTCGCATCACCAGATAGGTTGGTCGGTCGTGTCCCTCCTCCTGTGAAGAATGAATGCTTAAATGTAGAGTCAGCAATATTAAAAGAGAGGAAACAGCTCGTTATTTCCCTTAGCTAATACCAGTGCACTCATTTGCGAGACAACGGACCATTTGCGAAAATTCCAAGAGTCATTCATAGGATCCGCTCCAATAGTTGGCTGGGACTCGCTTTCCTGCCGATTGAACAAGAGTCCCAACCGAACACTAAGGCAGCACTCATTGCTAGCTCGCCCAGCCGCAATCATTCAAAACCGTTCGTATCACTTCTGATATGAACACCTAAGATAAAGATAAACCACATCCCTTTCTCTCTCTATTTTTTCCCCTTTGTACGCAATGGCAGCCATAAGAGGTTGCATTTATTTATGGTATCCCCAAGTTTGTACCCTATCGGAAGAAGGGGGCAAGGGGAGGGTGCAGCCCCCCCCCCCCCCCCCTCCTTCTCTCTGACTTTTGGAACAATTGTAGCAGGCAATATGGGAGAGAGGGACAGAGTTTAGCTTCCCTGCACATCATCCCTCCACCTTCCAAACTGTATCAAATCAGCTGGCCTCTGCCCATAGTGTTGAAAGACATAGCTCTATATAGACGAGAATCTGAGGGGTGGGATGAATGCAATTTCTTAACATCTGCATTTGTCCAAGTGGCATGCGATATGTTAGGAACATTTTTATAGATAAATTAGTGTGAACACCCTATTGGGTTTCAGTGCTGACTGCCGTATGTTATAGTTTATTTTACAACTTTAGAAAGGAAGCTAGCGAATGCAAGTAACATCTAAGTTTGGGGAGGCCATTCATTAAATATTGTAACTACAGCTCTACAATGGGCTAATTCGCAAAAAAGTACCATTCAACCTTAATATAAAAAAAACAATTATACAAACTAAAATGCACGAATTCTAGACAAAACAAAACAAGACGAAAAAGAAATTTAAAAGTAGCCCAAACCAAGAACATACAAATTAAGATTGACGGGTATCGTGCTGCTGCACTATAGATGTGGGCTCTATGTTTTTTATTGCACGCGGATGAACTGGTTGCACCACTCTGAATGCGGGAGCAGGCACATGCATTGCAAGGTCGAATTTAGAGCTTTTTTTTTCTTAAAATAGTAGAAAGGTTAATCTATAAATTGCTTAGCCCTACTCTTGCAACATCACAGTGTCCCTCAAGCCTTCATCTAGCCTTAAGACGTGTTTATTGCAATCTCGACATTTAAGTTCACACCTATATTTCTACGTTGATTTGAAAAAAAAAGAAACAGTTTTAAGAATTGCGGTGTTTGCGTTGCAGAAACATATAGTTATAAATGTGCCCATATTACATCCATGTTATTTACAAGTTATAAATCAAACCGCTGGCCTCCCCTTCAGCTCACCAGTGTCAAATGTGCTACTAAATTATCAGTCCTCTCTTATACAAACAAAATATGACAGTTGAGCGGAACATGATGCTTAAATTAGTAAATCACTCACATAAAAAAAAAAAATTGTCGAGTAAAGACGATTACTGGAAAACACACTCGCATAGCGCGGCGACATAGCTGACAGTCCACAACCACCCGACAAGCTGAATCTTGGCAAAGGACTACTCAGCGGCCCGTGGAATTTGGCTTTGGACATACTGGGAGGACTTTACTACAGCACAGATCTACCGTCAAGAAACAGCCATATTTTAACAGAAAACATGAATTAAAAATGACTTCAAACACGAAAATAACCAATCAGAGACATTCTGGCTATTACTATTACAATAAAAAGCACTTCCAAATAACGCTGTACTGGACCTTTCGGGCCGATCGCTGTGGACTACACGCGGACTCGTTGGAGATTCCCGGCCCAGAGTTAGACACGGTTCAAACTCATCGGATCATGACAAAACGTACATTGCGCAGCAAGAACACATGTCCCCGATGGTCAAGAGGAAGGAGAGGATCATCTCATTGTCACTCACGTGGAAAAAAAAGCGGTCCGTCGTGTCTTCGGCCCGCGGAAGCCAGTGGTGACATGTATGGTTGGCCACAACAAAGGAAGATCACCGGTGTGTAGGCGCTGCCGAGTGAATATCCAAGGTCTTGACAATCCGCATTTTGAAGATCGCACTTGGCATTAAACCATCGTTCTTACTGGTTCCAGCAAGGGTAGCGTGGATAAAGGAGATGCCTAGCCGCTTCGCCCGATAAAAAAAAATGTCCGCTAAGCAATGAAATGCACTCAAACAACTTAGAAACTGACACCACGGTGTCCTGATATGAACATGTTGATCTTGC